TTTTAACATTATTTGAACCCTCTGCCCAGGGTTCTGAATTTCTACAAAGTGTATGCCCCAGTGGGTTGGTAAAGGGTCACCAATGGGTCAGTTCAATATTGTTTACTGCCTACCTCATAGCTACTTAATCATCTGTGTGAAATTAATCAATGCTTCTCTAACTAGATCCTAGTGGACAAGTGTCTATAGCACAAATGCCTCCCTTGTTGTCAGTCTTAACTGAGAGACCAAAGTCTGAATGGTCCATGGAGTCCCTCTAAGACAAACACTTTGATGTTGGAAGTTTGCCTTGTCTCTCTGTGTTCTGCATCTGCTTTGGAGATAAATAGAAGTCTTAATTTTCAGGTCTGTCAGTTCAGCATCTTTCAACTAGCATAAATTCCTTTTAAATAAAAATCAGTCTGAAAAGTACCACTTCATATCCTTATCCATATCACATCCTTAGTATCAGCTTTGCTCTTGGTACTGGCTGCGGAAGGGGATGTTCTTGAGAAGGCAAGAAATACAGAAACTTCGGTGTAGTTGAGTTTTTCCTTTAATTTCCTGTTTTAATCAAGTTGCTGTCAGATGTGGTTGAGAAGTTGTTCATATTAATGTGTGATTGTGTCATGTTTAGAGGTAAATCTCTTTCCTCTATCGTATATCCGTTACGTCTTGCTGCATGTTTCTGCAGATTGTTTCAAAGAGATTAAATTCCAGACAACAGGTTAGAGCAACCCCTTTAACTCGGAATATTAAGTCACTTGGAGTCTTTGACTCCAGTATTTTGCCTGTTCCTCATTTTAAAGACTAGCATCCCATGTGTGAGTGTCAGTCAGTGGTTAATTTTGGAGTTGAGGCTGATCCAGCCAACCCCAAAATCCAGATCCTAATGTTGTTGCTGAGGGCTTGTTTACATGGTGTGTTAGTGTGCACCAGTGGGGTGTGACTTCCGGTCCACACCAGCATGTCACGTACTAACTGGCTCGTGTGGACCCTGCTGGCGCACACTGACAGTTCCCTAGTGCACATTAACGTGGTACTGTTTGAAATAGAACTACATTAACACACACTAGGGAATTTTTAGTGCACGTCAGCAGGATCCACATGGGCCAGCTAGTGCGTGACACACACTGGTGCAAATTAGAATTCACACCCCACTGGTGTGTGCTAACGCACTGTGTAAATAAGCCCTTAGGACTCACCACTAGTCAATTAGCTCTTAAGCGGCGGCACCAAGGTGAGAAGGGTACTCTGATGAGCTGGCCAGCAAGTGCAGGCTTCCAAATATGGATTTGTCCTTTCCTTGCAGACCCTCCTCTCAATGTAGTGATCCAGTATCAGCCAGGCCACAACTGCAAATGTGTTGCTAATAATGAAAAACGTGCTTTTTGAGATGCCTAAAGTGGGGGGAACCTACATGTCTGTTGTAAAACCATGTAATTAGTGCTAGGATTGACCTTCATAACAGAGAAATCAGAGCTGCCGTTGCCTGGTATGTGTCATTCTTTTGGATAGAGGAACCATAAAGTGTGCTACGCAGATTTCTGAGCATCTAAAGGGGTGAGTTTTATTCAAGTACGGCACTGATTCCATTGGTTAACAATGACTTCCCCCTCCTTTTTGGAATCTTATTTGGTTAAATGTTGAGGTTCACCTTTAAAGCATTCATCCATGACTTATTTAAGAGCCACCTTTTCCTTTGTATAAACTCACTCTCCGTGCTCCAATAGCAGCCGTATGGATAGCATGCCTGTAGTTGGGAGGACAGCTGACCTTCTAAGCTCTGGGCTTTGCTTCATGACCAGCTGCTAGGCAATTCAAAAGTGCAACAACTTCCTCACTCTGTCAAAGGCTGACATCACCTCTGTAAGGCTCACAATTCCAGCGGGCCCAAGTGGCAAATGCTTTGAGGTTGCTTTGACTCCTATGTGATAACACAGCACCTGCTGCCGTTTGTTTGGCCACTGCGCTAATTCAAGTGATTGGTTTTTGAAATCACGGCTTTAAAATTCCCCTGGCCTAGATGACATCACTTCATAAAGCCCTGGGCTGCTTCTTGGCAGGGAGGAGGTGTTCTAGGAGTTCTGAAAGTGCTTCACAGTTACTAAGCTACAGTATGAGAACCTGGCAGACCTTTTACAATATCACTCTATTGGGGGACTTAGGAGATGACTGTAAAACTGTGCACAGGTGAGATGTGGAAGCACAGAGATAACATCAAAGAAATTTGCTCATGGTGCATTCATTCCTGAGATCACAGGCACATGAACCCCCTGGTGTCCAGCAACCGAGTGCTGTGTACATTTGCTTTATGATGAGCTGAAGAGACAAGTTAGGTCAAACATGGAAAGAGTATTGGGTTTCTGATTTTTAGCAGCTGCAGTTCTGTGTCCTGCATCCAATCCTTTGTTTTTATTAGGGCTGTCGATTAATCGCGTGAGTTAACTGTGATTAACTCAAAAAAATTAATTGTGATTAAAAAAATTAATCACAATTAATCGCAGTTTTAATCACACTGTTAAACAATAGTATACCAATTGAAATGTATTAAATATTTTGGATGTTTTTCTACATTTTCATATATATTATATTCTGTGTTGTAATTGAAATCAAAGTGTATATTATTTTTTATTACAAATATTTTCACTGTAAAAATGAAAAACAAAAGAAATGGTATTTTTCAATTCACCTCATACAAGTACTGTAGTACAATCTCTTTGTATTGAAGGTGCAACTTACAAATGTAGATTTTTGTTGTTGTTACATAACTGCACTCAAAAACAAAACAAT